CAAACTGGTCCTATCACTTTATTACATATGGAGTAATGTAACGAAAGTAATTTCGCTTTGGGATAAAGTAGGAGCTTGATAATCTAATAAAAAAAATGTATTTTTCAGCTTATGGCTGAATAACTGATTCTTTTCAACAATTTTTGAGATGCGCTTTTACACAGTGTGCAATATTAAAAACGCTATAATGTTTTTGACCAGGAGGGGTCATTGTGGAGCATTTAAATCGTTAAGAAATTTTACGTTTTCCTCTACAGTTCGATATTTCCTCGTATCTTTGGGTCATTGTTAGCTGTTTCTCCTCTGTTTCTCTGCTCTACATTTTTAGATAAAACACATTAATCAATTAATTGATTGCGCTTTAAAAACAAAGCGTATTCCCGCCAACAACTTTTGCAAGAACTGTAAGTCTATCATTTTTCAGACGTCACCTCCACGTTGGTAAAAGCCACCCCCCGTCAATTTACAGCTCCGTTGTACCACAGCGCCACCTAGCGACCCTCCAGAGTACAAATAGAGCATTAGAATAAGTGGCAGGAGGAGGGCTTTCACTGCAAGCAAAAAAAATCTTCAAAGGGATTGTCGTTCCAAGTAAAACATAATAAAAAACACAAAACAAAAATAGCCCCAGTGCGGTGAGTTCATAATCTATTTAAAGGACAAACAAGCCTCACGAGAGGTAAGCACCTGAATACATTTCAACTTACAAATCAGTGGAATGTAGGGGGGGCTGCCCTCTCTCTATTTAGAGCAGCTAACATGCTAACCTGTTAGCATCTTGTAATTACTACTTTACGTTAAGTATTTTCTTGTGTTGCAAAAGCCTTTAAATGTTTATAACTAAAGACATGACTCCTAAAAGTAGGATACTTTCACATAATCTCTCCCAGTTAAGACTTTATAAGGTATATAACTCAGTGGATGAGTAATCTCTAAGTAGCAAGAGTTAGATAGCAACCGTTGGATGAGCAGCTTGTTGTTTTCTCGGGATCTTAGGAACTGTTGTACTTTGTTAATTTACTCACATCTATTTATTATATGTACAACAGTTTTGCAAAGGAAAACTGAATCCTGCCGATTGTTGTTAATGGTTAATAAGGTCTGGCTTGGGCGGTAAAAAACGCCCATATTTACACTTTTGTTCATTAGCTTTGCATGAACACCCAGTTTTCTGATTAAAAGATTTATTTGAGTCAACCTTTTTTTATGTTTATAATCCGTGTCTCTACCTAGACTGTCTATGTAAGGAATTATATTTTTATTTACTTTTTACATGTCTTAGATAAACAGGGATTTTAAATAATAGGGACCATGATTGTTTTTTAGGGATGTATTTCTTATACTTTATCCTTAATATTAAAATATATTTTTCAGTATATTACCAAAATGTACTACTTTAAAGATAGTCAAGATGGACATTGTAAAGCACTTATTAGTTACTGCTTGCAAGATATGCAATGTGCTGGTAAAGATCCTCAGTCATCCAGGTTATAGTCATTCCAAAAAAGTAAAAAAAATAAAATAAAATAAAAAAAAACAATCCACTGGACTTTGTTTCCAAGTTTAAAGACATTTCGCTTACCATCCATGACGGGATGAGAAATTGAAAATCTTCCTGGATGTGAAGCAAAACGTTTTCAAACTTGGAAACAAAGTCCATTCATTTTTTTAAACTTTTTTGGAAAGATATGCAAAGCTTCAAAAAGTTTTTAGCCTTAAAATCACCAGAAAATACCTAAAACAACAGTTACGAGTTAAATGGTCCTCCCATAAAAAGCTCTGGAGAAGCTTTGAAAAGCACAGCACCAATGCCCCTCCCCCACCTATTACTGAGCACCACAGCTCAGCTGGTTTCAAGGAAACCTAAAAAAAGAAACATATTGAGAAATTTCTTGTTTTACATCGCACTTTCTACCCTCTGTAAGTAGTTACGATTAAGTCTTTAATAGTGCGTCTCCTTCCTATGGTTCAAGGCACTGTCTACACTCTTTTTTTAACTGTTTCTGTATAAAGTTTGTGTTTGTATTAGAATGTTGTTGTTTTTGTTTGTTTGTTTTCAATGTTTAAATAAACCTAATTGTGTGCCGCTCCTTCTCTAGCTGTTGCTATGCACTGTAGCTTAACTTACCAAAACAGGGTTCCTACACTTTCCCCTTACATTTAAATAAATCTCTAATAAACCTAGACCTGTTTTTAAATTATTAATAAAGCTATGAGCAACAGTTCTGTTAAGCTGCTGACTCTAGGATTAACCTAAGCTGATAGCCAATTAAAAAACTAGTATTTGGTTTATGTAATCCATAAAAAGCATAAAGGAAAAGTATTTTAAACTCTACGCAACAGAAGTGATTTCATCCACATGCTTTTGTCTGATTTTTCCCCTATTTTATCTAAAATCTTTGACAGAATGGACATGCTTTTGGAAAAAGGATAATGTTAACTAAATATAAGTTTATTTGATTAAGGTTGAACCCAGTCACTTGTGTGTGGAAATGTATAAACTTTTTATATATCAGTGTGTGAGTGTGTGTGTGAATGGGTGAATGAATGTAGTGTAAAGTGCTTTGGTCAAGTCTCCTAACTTGAATAAAGGCGCTATATAAGTACATGCCATTTACCATTTTTAAATGAAAACCATCTGGGTCAGTTTAAATTTGCCTTAAAAAAAGATGTCTTATCATTATTGTTTTATTTTAATGTATATTTAGATAGAAAACTTTAATGGAAGCGGTAGAAACATTCTTTGATGTTTTTCAACATTAAATCATTTGGTTTCTAGCTGCAAATATGGATTCAGGTGAAGACCAAAACGCAAACAGCACAAACGGAAACCCTCAGACGAGTGGGAACTCCCGTACAACCCAGATAGCCCGCATGTCTTTGTATGAAAGACAAGCTGTGCAGGTAAGGGACTGTGTTTATAAACTGGTGTCTCTTATTATTTATATTAACCTTTTTCATACACCTTGATGAAATGTTTATATATATGTTGTTTTCTTTAGGCTCTACAAGCTCTGCAGAGACAGCCCAATGCAGCCCAGTACTTTCAACAGCTGATGCTACAGCAGCAGATCAATACGGCCCAACTGCAAAACTTTGCTGTGCAACAGGTGATCCTGAATATCACAGCAATTCATGTTCATATTCACCATTCCTTTATAAAATGTTGCTTTTATTTGCTATGTTTTTTAACCCATTCAGCTTTATTTCACTTTTTTACAAGGCCACGCTTGCAGCTAGCCGCCAGTCCAATACTACTAGTAACAGCGTGTCACAGGCTACCACCACCGTAAGTTTGTTTGTTGAAGTTTCACATTATCCCTGATAAGTCTTATAAAGTAGAGGGTCAGATCAGTTTTAAAAATGTTTCATTTCTGTCTTTCCTGCAGGTCAATTTAAGCACTACGTCTGCAGGTGGTACTATGAGCAATCCTCGTCCACACGGTCCTGCAACGACAACAGCCCTCAACCAGTCGGTGCTCTTGGGTGGAAACTCTGCAGGACAGGGACAGATGTATCTTAGAGTGAGTTAAAATACTTATATTATCAGCAATAATTTTTATATTTTTATTTCGTATTTATATCTGTTTTTTTTTTTGTAATATGTTTTTGTTTTTATCATTTTTCTCAATTGTTGAGAAAAAACTGGGTTGACAAAATTTTTTTTATCAATTTTTTAAGAAATATACTCTTTGTCTCCTGCTTCATCCACGATCGGGTCGCAGGGGCAAGAGCCTCAGCAGAGACTCCCAGACTTCTTTCTCCACAGATACAAGAGGAGATGGAGGAGTAAATCGAGAGCTTTACCTTTACCTTTTCGCTCAGCTCCTTCTTTACCACAACAAACGCGTGCAGCTTCCATATTATAGCAGCATCCACACTGATCCGTCTATCGATCTCCCACTCCATTTTCACCTCACTCGTAAACAATACCCCAAGATACTTGAACTCCTCCACTGGAGGCAGGGACTCTCCTCCGACCTGAACAGGACAGGCCACGTTTTCCGGTCGAGAACCATGGACTCCGACTTGAAGGAGTTTATTCTCATTCTGGCTGGTTCACACTTGGCTGCAAACCTCCCCAGCGCCAGCTTTAGGTCTTGGCATGAAGAGAGTCAATAGAACCACATCATTCGCAAAGAGTAGGAACAAGATCTGCTGGTCCCCTACCAAACCCCCTCCGGCCCTTGTTGGTGCCTAGAAATCCTGTCCATAAAGGTTAAGAACATGACCGGTGACAGAGTGCAGAACAGTCCAACATGCACTGGGAAGAGGTCCAACTTAATGCTTGCAATGCAGACCAAACTCCTGCTCCACTTGTATAGAGATCGGATGGCCCCTAGTAAATGGTCCCTGATTCTGTACTCCTGAAACGCGAGGGACCCAGTGGAGTGCCTTCTCCAGGCCCACAAAACACATGTGGACTGGTTGGTAAAACTCCCTTGAACCCTCGAGCAGCTGGTCCGCTGTTCCACAGCCAGGACTAAAAGCACACTGCTCCTCCTGAAGCTGGAGGAGCGTCAGCCAGACTCTCCTCTCCAGCAGCCTGATAAAGGCCTTCTTCGGGAGGCTGGGGAGTATAATCCCCTATATCCGAACACACCCTCTGTTTCCTCTCTCTTATGCATGAGAACCACTACCACAGTCTGCCAGTCCAGGTGCACTCTCCCAGACCTCCATGCGGTATTAAGGAGGTCTGAAGGAGATAAGATATGACTACAAAGTCAATCATCGACCTTCGGCCTTTTGTGTCCAGGTGCCTAGTGCATCAGTGGACATCCTTATGCTTGAACATGGTGTTCATTATGAACAATCCACAACCACTCAGGTTCAGGGCTGGGGGTCCATTCCTTATGATCACGCTTTTCCGGGTGTTACTGACGTTTCCCATGTGGGCCTTGAAGTCTCCCAGTAGAATGATGGAATCCCTGGGAGAGGCGTTATCCAACACTCTCCTAGAGAAGCTAAGAAGGCCTTGTATTCTGCACTGCCTTTGGATTTTAGGTGAAGATGAAGGGATGCGACCCTCTTATCCACCAGAGTAAACTCCAACACGAGTCGGCTGAGCTGAGGGGAGACAAACAGTTCCACCCCCCGCCTTCGTTTCTCCCCGCGGACCACTCCAGAGTAGAAAAGAGTCCAGCCTCTCTCAGTGTTTTGGTTTTCAAAGGCCTGGCTGTGTGTGGAGGCAAGCCCAACTATTTTGAGCTGGTATCGATCCACCTCCCACACAAACTCAGGATTTAAAACATTTTCTAAAAAATATAGTTTCAGTTTTTATTTTCCTAAATAGATTATGTAATTGCATTTTTCCCTAATGCGTTTAACTATATGTTTACCTATAACAGATTAGATTATTCCTCATTTATATATTTTTTACTTTTAGTCAGTTGGATTGTGATGCATGTTGTGGGTATAGTTTAGACATGGAGTTTGTATGTTTCTTACCCATATTTATTCAAATAGAATAGTTTTGCAGTTTTTTTTGTTATTTAGACAAAAATAACAAAAATAAAATTGCTCTTGAATAGGATTCTAAACTGTTGCCTTTTGCGACAGGCCGACCAGCAGTGCATAGTAAAATGGAGGGTGAGGGATAGTGTTATGTATATATAAAATAAGGAACAGATTGGTAAAAAATGTAACTGCTTTTGAAACTGTTGGAACAGTTAGTGTTCAGACAACTAGAGTAGAGTAAACCAAAGCATTCAAAGTGCTTAATCTTGTAGTTGAAAGACAAACAATCGGAACATTTCATCTTATCTGTTTGCAGGTGAATCGGTCTCTAAGAGCTCCGCTTGCCCCTCAGCTCATCTTTATGCCTGGCGGGACGACAGCCGCTGTAGCAACGGTCGCTCAGACGCAAGCACAACCCCAACAGCAGCAACAGCATGATGCTGCTTCTACCACTACAAGTGCCCAGTCTGACAGTGATCAGGTGTGATCTGGTTAAAAATAATTCAGGGGTGTTACAGCAATAGAAAAGCTGTGTTTGACTACAATTTTTTTTATTTATTTTTTTGGTTTCTCTGTTTCCCAGGTGCAGAATCTGGCTCTGCACTGTGTATCCAACACCAAAACAGCTGCAGGAAAGGCTGAAAATGTAGAGAGGAAAGATGCTGGCAGTTTTCCTCTCACCCAGCAGCAGCAACAGAATTTCCCTCAGACAGCTCAGCAGCAGCAAGTGAAGCCGCAGCAACAGATTGCCAAAGCCAGCTTTAATCAACCATCTGCCTCCAGCGCCCTGACTGTGAAGACTGCCAACCAGGCCGTCACTGTCACTCCTGCAGCCTCTGTAGCTCCATCCTCATCTTCCTCGTCCACAGCCCTCCCTCTCTCTCAGCTCCTCTTGTCCCCCTCTGCTCCCCCTGTCATCCTGGTTCCCAGTTCAAACGTTACTACCTCAACCCAGGGCTACCCGATTGGTTCTGTGGCACCAAAGGCTAACATGAACCCACAGACTCTCGTGGTGCAGCCCCTCCAACAGACAAACGCTAACGTGGAAAAGGGTCCAGTCCCAATACAGCCCAAGACAGCTCAGGGACACCGCCTACCCCTTCAGCTGTCCCCTCGGCTGCCGCCTCCCATTCTCCCAGCCCCACCAAGCAACAGTCAGGCCAACGCCGGTGGTCCTAACCCTCCACACATCCCAGTCCAGCTGGTGGGAGCCAGGCAGGGCTTGGCAGGAAATTCACAAGCTGTGGCCTTGGCTCAGGTGCGGAGCACAACAGCTCAGGAGAGTCCTTCTGGTGTGGCTGCTAGCTCATCCCCCAGCAGCGCTGCCATGGTAACATCAGAACCTACTGCTCTGTTAAAGCTTTGTATTTAACTAGTGCTAACTACCACCCTGTTTGTTCCACATATTTTTAGACAAAGCCATCCCCAGGCTCTCTGAAGAGAAAATCTGAGAGTGATGCTCCAAATGAGATATCAGAAACATCAGATTCTGCCCCATTGAAAGACTCTGCTCCTCCTTTATCTCCTGCCCCCTCAAAGGACTCAGGTAGCTCTCTTTGAGCATTTTAAATATAACCTAAAATAATTGACAAGCGAGTTTACACCCACTCATTCAACTTTTTATTTTCAGCTCCTTCTGTAGATGCCTCGTTCTCCTCTCCCCCCACCCTGTCCTTACCTCTGCCCTTGTCCAGAGTCGGCCATGGAGACAAGCTTCCTCAAGCCGTGGTCAAACCTCAAGTTCTCACTCATCTCATTGAGGGCTTTGTTATTCAAGAGGGAGCCGAGCCATTCCCTGTAAGTTCATCCCACCACTAAACTGAAAAAAAACATCTGATAATATTAATCAGGATGAAAGGTATGGGTTTCAACTCAAATATGGTTTTACCATTTTTATTTTCCTGCCCTTATAGCATTTGAAACAAAAAATGAAATTCTTCCTAATTAATAAAAAAACAAACATAAATCACTTCTTCTCTATAGCCTACATTGATCATTTTAAAATAAAGGCATATTTGACAGATGTCAAATATGATGTAGATCATCTTTCCTCTGCTTCAATTTAATTGGATTGTTATGCATTTCATTCCTTCCTTGCATCCTTTTTACTTTAATTCCCTCCTCATGTACTATCTTCTTTCCTTTTATTCTTACCCCTTTTCCTTCACCCATCTTGTTTTACATCTTTCCTTTTTTGTACCATGCTCTCTTTTCCAATCTTGGTGTCAGACGATCCTTGTAAAACTCGGTTCTTTGTGTTTGAAGATGAATATACAGAACTAAAAACTCTGAAAGGTTGAGTCTAAAATATTTGAACCCCTGGAAATAGCTTTCTTGTTAACTTTTCTTTGCTTTGGCAGGTTGCTGGACTCCTCAAAGACAGAGATTTTGCTCTGGTTGGCCGCACAGAGCATGGCCCTCCATGTAAGTAAAGATGCATTTGTTTACACAGGTTCCCTCTTTGTCGTTTGGTGATCTGAAAGTTTTATTTGTTTATTACAGTGTTGAAATGTGAGTACTGTGGATGCTTTGCACCAGCCAGCCAGTTCAGAGGATCAAAGAGGTTCTGTTCAAACACTTGCGCTAAAAGGTACAGTTTCATCACTCATGAAGACGGATCATTATTGTTACACAGCATTGCAAAACTAATTCACAATTTGTAACCTTACCAGCCACAAATCCAGAGTAATTTTATGGGATGTTACACACTAGCAAAAACATGCATAATCGGAAGTAAAAACTATTAGATTAAAGCTAGTGCTTTTGGTCTGGGTTTTATTCATTTGCTGTTACATGATGTGATCTAAATGTGTCTTAGCTCAGAGCGGTCAAAGGAACCAGTTAACGACTGACCCTCTCGACTTTTAGGTACAATGTAAGCTGCAGCCAGCACTACAAGTCCAGCAGAGGGAGAAATGGTGGGGCGGCGTCACTACCTTCTAACACCACAGAGAGCTCTGCTAAACGCAGAGGTCCTTCTCGAAGAGGAAGCTCCAATAGCACCTACAGTAAAGTATCGAGCAAGCATCTTTCTGTCAAGGTGAGATCCGTTGTTTTGAAGAAAGAGGTCTTTGTTGTCTGTTTGGTCCTCTTCAGTATTTAGCTCTTATTGCTGACTAAAAATATGCACATTGTGTTAGTGCTGCAATTCCACACAGGTCAGGAATGATACGAATTACTAAGAAATACAAGATTTTTGGATTTGTGTGAAGTTTGAAAATGACTGGGTTTCATTTATGATCCCCCCAAAAAAATTCAGTTATGACACAGGTAAGATAGATAAAGATAAATTGTGAGGTGTTGCTTCTTATTTACACAAATATTATAACGTTTTTAGGACAATTTACAAGAATCTAAGAAGAATACTGCAGGAACCCCAGGAAATCAGTGAACAATATGGAGATGATTCCTGGAATCATGATTACATTTGAATTAAATCGTACTTTTGACAGTTTCATTACAATAAGATAAAACAGCCTTTAGCCAAGCTTCAGTTTGAAAATGGATGTTTAACTTAGAGCAGCTGTAGTTTTGTCTCTGGAACTGGATCATCAACTTGAATCCTTCACTGAGTTAAAGACTACCTTTAAAACCTACCTTTTTCGGTAGTTCATATTATTCATGTTCTGTGTAAAATAATGGCTTAAAGGTGACCTGGACTCTAGGATTACTATGATTCCCTGATGTGCTGCTAAAACCTCATTGTTTTCTCTGGCTTCGGTTCATTTTCTGTTGGATCACTGACAGAAAAGTCTTAACATTTTAAACTTAAAAAACCTCTGAACATTTCACATATCGAGGCAAATTCTATTTCAGTGTTAAGTTGCTTTTTGACCCTCTGATGTCTCCTTTGCAGTGTCATTCAGAGTCCAGTCGCTCAGACGATATGTCCAGCGAGGGGGAGGAAGACAGGGATGAGTCCTCCTCGCTGTCGAGAAGCTCCTCGCGCTCCTGCCTCAGAGCTCAGCACAGCGCTCCCCCCTCAGACAGTTCCCCACCTGGAAGCCTTCCTATCGAAGGTGCTAACTTCCTCTCTGCCACTCCGGCTCAGTGGAGCGTGGAAGAAGTCTGCAAGTTCATCTCCTCTCTTCAAGGTAGGCTGGCAGAAAACTATTTTGGCTTTGATTATTTAAACACGTTCAGGTCGTCTGTTCTGATACGTCTCCTTTGCTTCCTGTGCGGTTTAGGCTGCGAGGATCTGGCTGCCCAGTTTCTGTCCCAGGAAATAGACGGGCAGGCACTCATGCTGCTGCGGGAGGATCATCTAATCTCTACTATGAACATTAAGCTGGGTCCGGCTCTAAAGATATGTGCCTCTATCAACAGTTTGCGCGAGTGATGAATGTGCTCTACTATCTCATGTCTCATAGGAATTAACACTTGGACTTGAGCTTCTTGGAGATTGTCTGGGTGTATTTTTGTTTTTGTTTTTACACAAACAAATGTCCCCTATTAATATGAAAGTGCTTTTTGATCACATGACCCTTTAAATCCAGCTTCTGCTATTTGCTGTTCCAGCTTCAGGGTAGGAGGGTTCTTAACAACCATTGAGTAACATAAAGGGATGTGACTGATTTTGTGAAAAAGTAGCAATGATTGGCTGAGCCAATGACATTTTGATCTCAGTACTTCCTAAAACCCTTGCAGAACTTTTCCCACGTTTTCCATATTTTATCACATCGCAGCTTCCTTTTCCTCCAGACATCTTGCTCTGTCTCTCAGCTAAAATCTTAATAGAAAAAAATTGGACAAGATGTGAGAAAATGTGATGACTTTTCTCCAAGGCTCTAAATGTTACATGGATGTAGACAGTATTCTTTCTGGACTCTGAATGTGCAGATGTATACATACTGGTATGTGTATCACAAACCCAAATATTCCTGTCGTTAGTGTTTGTCTTTTTCAGAAAATAGATATACTGTTTATAGACTTTTCCAAAACTGCAAAACTCACAAGGTCTTCCTGCTTAATAATGTCACCTTCTGGTCACAGAAAACCAGTGGAACAGTATTTCTAAAGGGTGCTTCCGGTTTCAGGTTCTCATAGTTACATTTCTATATGTTGTTTTGTTCTTATGTTTTTGTCATAGATGTCAAACTCAGGCTTCAATCACACCTCGATGACACTCAACAAGCCTGTTGTTTTTAGTAGTTTCTTTAGAATAGTTATGAAGAGTTTTAGTTTTCTATTTTCTCATTTTTATAGTACAATCAAAGTTATTTTTTCATGGAAACAATATAGTTGTAGAAGCTTTAATAAATTACCCAAAAAAAAGGTACCTCTTATGCTCGGCTCTCTTAAGGGCTAAATAGAAGTACTCTCTGTAAATGTATGCAGTACATATCAATAAACATTACAGAATACTGAAGCTGGGTATGTGATTTATTGCTCACAGGTTAATTTCAGCCTCTCATATTTTCATTCACATTTGAGTATGTAAACTGTCTGAGTTCAGTTTCTGCTCCAGATGACCAATTCTGCTTAAGTAAACATGAATAAAGATATTATTAGTTACAGTGAGAGATCCTTTGCTTTTTTTACCCTTATACTTGTTAAATCATGTTGGCCCATTAAAAAAAAAAGAATCACAAACCGTTTCTGATCTCATCATGGACAGGTTCAGGTTATTAGAAAGATGCACCAAACTCAGGCTCACAATATCTCTTTCTTGTTCAACAAAATCCCCCCTTTGTTTCCAATGTGACCCTTAAAAAGTTAAATAACTGAGAAAGAAACAGAATCATTTTACCAACAATTATAAAAATCCCTCTTAAACGTACAATGGAATTCCAGAGTTTTTCCAGAAGGAATCCAAAGGATAACTTAATTCATTTTGTCAAGCTGAACGTGTTCAGAGTTTGTAACACTTCAGTTGTAACTTAGAGTTTCTTATAAAAGTGCTCCATTAAGCTTGGAGATAGTAGTGCAAATACATCTGTTTTTCTTCTTTTGGCATTTCACACTGGAGGCGATCAGAAAACAGTGTAGCTGTTAGTCTCTCCATATCCAGCTTCCTGCAGGTACTGTTCCAGGTTAACCGTCCCAGAGGCTTTGAGGGCTTTATCCGAAGCGCTCTTTTCTCCTGAAACAAGCTTTCGGCTCACCTCCGCCAGCGAGGGCCGATCCTGATCTTTCCACTGGCAGCAACTTTTAATGAGTGCATACCTGAGAAAAGAAGCAGAGGTTTTGGTGAAATTTTGCACAAAATTAACAACTTAAAGGGGGGCTATTTATTAATCTGTAGCATGTTGAGGACACTTACAGTGAATTGGAACAGGTTGAGGGTTTTTTCAGGTTTTTTCCTCTCTGATGAAACTGCAGAAGCTCATTAATTGAGATTTCTGCAAATGGAGCTTCCCCTGGAAGACAGAAATACATATTTATAAAAAAAAAAAAAAAAAAAAACGAGTAAAGAGACCAGATGTAGCCTTAATATGAATTCTGGTTCTCAACAATCAAAGTAAAAAGTGTTAAGCTTAGAAAACACAAGAGCAACGTTTTCTTAGTTTTTCTGTTTGTTTGGAACTGCTTTAAACCACATTACAAACTGCATCATCAACAAGTCATACCAAAGTGGAAAGTAAACAGGTCAGCGTTGCCCTAGCACATAATTAAACTGCTCTGCATGAAAACATAAAAGGAGAGAACAGTCTGAGAGTAGGACAACATATCGGTTCTGTGGCTTTCAACAAAAAGTAAATATAGCTAAGGGAGTTAGCATTAATGTTACACATTAAAATAGAGAATATATAGTTTATTTTAAGTGTTGCAATATCATCCACTATTCTCATCATATTCCTAAACAAATTGCATTTATTTATTTTCAAATTATATATTTCCAAGGTTACCCAGAATGTGGCGAGACATTTCTATTAAGCAGGTTTTCTATTGATTTCATGCATGTGCAGTCAGTAAGAGGCTGGTGACCCCTGACTGCTGATAAGAGAATAATTTGGCATGTTTTTACAGACCTTTCCAAGAGCTGCTTCTTATCTGGTTTCAGAATTAAAATAAGTTACTGAATTTTGATGGGTTTGGCTCAGCAGTAAAGCCTAAGCTGTGTGAGATCTGTTTCTATCATCCGTCTAAGAGCTAAACACATTTTTATTGCTGTGGGAAACATAAGGTGTCCAGTACTTCTGCTGGATTTTTCTTCAAAGTAATTTATACTTCGGAAAAGATATCTATTCATCAGCCTCCACAAGAGGGTGCTAATGTTGTAGTGTTCTGAAATCATTGTGGACTCACCTAGTGATGCCATTTCAAACAGCAAGATCCCAAACGACCAACTATATGAGCAAACAGAGCCAAGAAGGATTGTGGTTAGCTTTAAAGACATGTGATCCTCTAAAAAAAAACAACTTGCAATTTTCAAACAAAATAAATTTAAACTGAGTCTTCTTTTTGCTCATTAGATTGATAAAGATTTTATAGTAATGGGAATTCTATAAACTCACACTGTTGACTCATTGAACATGAACATCTCTGAAATTAGACTAGATTTGTATTACATCAAGTTCATTGTTTGAAGACAAAACCAAACTGACATGTCACTGCTCTTAGTTGCTGGCTTCCTGACCAGCAGCTCGGGCGCCTGCCACTTCTTCATGCTGGGATCATCCCTCTGAGTGGCTTTCTTGTTCTTCCGTGTGTAAACTCCATGAAGGCCCCAGAGCTTGGCTGTGAGCTGCTTAGAGACCAGAACGCTGCTGGCCCGGATGTTTCCATGGAGGAGGTCTTTGCTGTGGAGGAACTCCTAACAATGCAGCAAAACAAGAATTTCAGGATTAAACGAGCCAACCCCATTAAAAGAGAAACAAATAATCTAATAAGTTTAGTTTATATGGAGAGCATATAAGACAATAATAAAATATAATAATATCTCAAACATTTTTTTTGTTTCTTAGGTATGATGGCTATAAAAAAGGATTATCATAAAATTGTGTACATAAAATATATCTGATTTAAGTTAAACATGTGCTTGAAAAAAATGTATTAAGATTGTTGTACAAACCAGAGCAGAAGCGACCTGGTTGGCCATAGTAAATATTCTCCTCTCAGTCATTTCACACGGAGGATCCACGTTGTCCTGGAAGACAAAGGAGATAACAGAGTAATTCTGAGCTTTCAGGTTTAAACAGAAACACTGCTTTTCATCCTGTCTAGCCGATTTTATACAACACGGTTAGAAAATAAATATCTTTAGGAGACCATGCATTGAATATCTTCAACCACACTTTTTGAGCTAATTATAACTCCCCTTATTATGCAAAACACATTAGATTACTGCCAGATCTTTATAATAAAAAGTCCCTTAAAGGTATAGTGGAGGATTTTCGCTACCCTCTCAACTTAAAAAAGAAATGCACATGCACAACCCTGTATCGCTCCCGATAGGGAACGCCTATTAAACGAGAGCATGCACAAGTCCATTTCTGCTCGTGCACGCTCTGTTTAAAAGTTGCTGTTTGTATCATTCAAACAAGCTTACTTTCCAAAAGAAGATTTGCAACTATTCCACTATTTCAAACTCACCACCGGTACGTGAAAATAGGAACGAGGACGTAGGACGGCCTTACATAAACATATCGCCGGAATGATTGACAATTAGGAGGACCACTTATTTTGATGATCCACCCAGAAGAAGAACATCCTTCGCTATACCTTTAAACAGAACCAGTCTGGCAACAGACATTGCTAGTTTATTAACTTCAATTCAATATCAGTTAACAGATTTGTACATTGGTAATGTATTTGGTTGCTACAGCAAATTTTCAAACGGATAAAAGCAAAATCCTTCACTACAAACAATATAAAGAGGTTCAGTCTGTTTTCTGGTTTTATTTGTGCACACCAAGATAACCGGTTAAAGGGCTGTGTTCTCATGCACTAGGAAAATAAGGGCAGGTTGAAGAATATCTGTAGTTTTACTTGCAGAACTATCTGAAATGTATACTGAATGATGTCTATAAAGCTGTATTGGACTTTATCCTATATGAAAAAGTTACACCACTATTGTTTATTAGCTATTTTACTTATTTGATAATGACACAAAAGCATGGGTGGGGAAAGGCCTTTGGCTCAAGTTTACTCAGCGCATGGTGGTGGAGTCGGGTCAAGGTCGGATTACTTCCACACCAAGTACAAATAACTATTGAACATGTTTAGAACCACACCAAGATCACTTCCTCCAAATCATCTTGGTCTGGTCGATGTGAGACTTCATTTGCTGTGCTCACATCTTCACAAACAAATCACACTAAGCAGGGAGGAAAATTAAATCAGTTTAGTTTTTAAACAACCTTAACTGTGAAAACACCCATGGGGTTACAAACCCATTTCTTAGGCTTTAGGACTCCAACAAACTATAGGGGGAGCCAAGATCCTGAAATTGATAAAACATGTTGATACTTTACATAATTACTCCAAGAGAGCATCAACAAGTCATCCAGGAGGTTAGAAAACCAAAACAATTCCCAAAGCTCTGCAGACCAGAGAGGCTACCTTGGTTCAGGATGACTTGCCAATATTTTTAGTGCTGTGAGTTCTGCTCTCTGTCAGAAAATTCTGGAGGACAATGTCCATATTCCATTTTGTAATCTTAAACTCTGTTAGATGCAGGTTATACAGGAGGACGGTGAGATAAAGCAAGTCCCCAATGAATAGCTGAATAAAAAATAATACATTCCACCACTGTCACCTGAAACACTCATGATATTTATCGTCCATGCTTGAAGACATTTGTTGCCAAACAGGATGGCAAAACCAATTAATAGGTTTACATTCGGATTATCATTTTTCCCCCCTTTGATAACTGAAAGTATCATTTGAAAAAGGATTATTTGGTTATGTTTGCCATGAACTAATTATCTGAAACATTAGTATGGGTGAATAATGTCAAACCTATCATATCTGAGCCAGCACAGGGAAATGGATTATTGTACTGGAATTTTCAGAACATTATTCAAAAGGTCACAGGTCAAAATTTTCAATGGAAAATACATTTATTATTGTGGTGAGAGGACCTTTCATTTAAGAAAAGGTCATTCAATAGATTATTAGAAAGAATGTCCTTATTTACTGAGAAGAATATTTGAAACATCAAATAATAAGCCAGTATAAAGAGAAAAGTTTGAGCTACAAATAGCAGCATGAGAATTTTTTCTTTAAAGCTGTTTTCAATATATGTTCTTATTTAAATTAAATTGTTGCTTTTATACTTAGTTTTAAAATTTCTTCTTAAAATTTAAACAACCATTATTCCATAAATATTTTCCCATGAGGTGCGATGGTTGGTTGGTTATCGCAGGGGAACCGTTTTGATGTAGACACAAATAAAGTTTAAGTATCATAAGATACGGAATAACAAGTCTAAAACTTTAAGATTGTAGTGATATGGAAAGTAAACTTCTTAGACACAGTTTTTTGGAATTTGGACAATTTTAAAAAAATGTGACAGAAATCATTATTTTCCCCTAACACACACAAAAACAACAACAAAAAAGAAATAAAAACTGAAAAATAATCTTAAGAGGGTTAAATGCATTTTCACACCATTAGAGCTTAATATCTGGGAAATGCTTTGTAAGAAAACTTAATAACACCCTACCTGTCTGCATCGCCACAAGTAGCTGAGCAGGTCCCTGTTTTCAAGCTCCTCCACCACTGTGACCAGGGGGGCTCGGATTGAGACCACCCCCAGCAGCTCTGGCAGGAATGGATGTGGTCCAAGCTGTGCCAGGAAAGATGCAAAGCCCAGGAAGTTGTGTCTCTCCACGGCATCAGCTGAGTCTGTAAAGGAAAGATTCCTTAAAGTCATGTCTATAAAAGGTTTATCCCAGACCTGTATTTAGTAGACAAAAATTCCCCTCAGTTTCTCACCTTTGAGGACACGGAGAACCACATTCCTGTTTTCCATGCGCGCCCTGTAGAGAGACACAGAGGGGTCGGCGTGCATGGAGAAGGAGCCCTGCAGAGGGGTGACCAGGTTAAAGGACTCTGGCAGCCTCTGGCGGGGCAGCTCCCTTGGCTGGGCGATGGGAGTGAAACTGGTCTTGATGGGGTCTGGTAGGGGGTTGGTTGGGAGAGAGGGTGGGTTCACAGACAGGTTTTGGGATTGGTATGTTTTGGGGGGCTGAAAGGTGGAGTAGGAGGTGGGTAAATCCAAGGCGATGCTTTCGTGCTCAAGGACGTTGATACCAGGTGGAGCTTAGAAAAGAGAGGGGAGCAGAGATACAATCAGTTTGAGGAATTAACATATAAATTAGTAAAAGACAACAAAGGTTTACATATGGGAGAGCAGTAGAGTCCTCCACGGTATTATTACTATACATTCACACAATTATACTTTACACATATATCCAATATGTTTATATATACTTTATAGTCAACATATGTGCTATATATCCTAAGTTCATATTTTCTAGTAAACTAAAATATAATTTTGGACTAAATTGGCCCACATTGAAGCTTATTTTACTTGTAAATAACATCAATGTCTACTTATTCTTTATAAGATTATTCTTTGATGTTTATTGAAATTAACCCTTTAGTTTACTGAATAATATACTTTTGCTTTGAAGTCATAATCTTTGTATGCCTTAATCTAAATTGGGTATAATTTAGTGTACCTTTATATAGTAAAACTTTATTACATGCATGTTAACTAAAAGTTTACCTGGAAATTAAACTTAAAGTTGGCCAATTTACGGTAGTCCCAGGAGGTTTGATTCTTAATAAACTTCCAGTACACTGGGTAACCTTGGGATATATATTTTTGTACAGTTGAGTATACTTGAAAATATGAACTTAAAATATGTCAAATATATAAATAAATAAAAGATTTTTTTTTTTATTGGTGTGTTTCTCCTTAATTAAAGCAAGTAAATAAGATAATCTGAAATGAAACGAGTACTTATACCCTTAAATAATAAAATTACATATATACAAAGTAAAATAAAGTAAAATAATAGAATTTAATAGATAATAGAATTTGTTTTTTTTTCTTATTTTGAATGTAAATATTTTTATTGCATTAGCAAAACATCATATTTGCTCAAATCAAGGGAAAATACAACTGACTTAGATTACATTTTTTTCTTGCATTGTAGGTAAAATAAATCTTATGAAGTATATCACTGACAGGTATACTGTAAGTAAACTGAAAATATACTTGCTTATTTGCATTTAAAATAGGTACACTTCAAGTACACTTGCGTGTACTACTTTTTGGTAAGGTGAATGTACAATAAAGATACTTTGAAGGATATTATCACTCTACATCATTGCATGACAAGTTTTGATGCTATCCCCCACATAGTTGTCATTTTTCTTTTGTTCTGCTTACCATCAATGCCTTGCAATATTCTCCTGGTGGTCACATTTTTCCGGGGACGGATTCGGTCAACCTTCTCTGGGCAGAAGCGCAGCAGGAGAATAAAGACCAGAGTGACCAAGAAGCTGGACAACAGGAGGATGGGAACCACGATCACCTCTTGTTCATAAACACGGATCTCTGCAGGAGATCAGACACAAGGAAGCATCACTCTACAGGTCTGACGTACAGACCTGCTAGTGCTCTAGATCTACTGAAACATACTTTTCTAGTTATTAGAGAAATATATCTCTATCCCCTTAGTAGAAAGGTGAAAATATATGTTTTTATGTCCCCAATTTTAACCAAATTTTTCATTTTTGTATGCACTTATGTGTACAAAATGACAAAATAAAATCTTTCTAAGTCTCTAAGTCTATTTAGTGGTCATAGGTTCATGACTGTGATAAGACTCACCACAGACAGTGTCTCCTGCTGTGCAGCGAGAGTCTGATCCTGACATCCTGTCAAATAGAAGGACATTAAAGAAAGCAATGTTGAGAAGCAGAAATAACCTCAATGTACAAATAATCCCCAAAGTTGGTAGAACCATAAAACAGGAACATTTCACTAAAAAAGAAAACAGACAGCACTGAAAGACAGACTTGGCATAAAATGTGAAAACCCTTTCTTCTAGTCACTTACTACAGGTTGATTGTGGAGGACTTTAAATAGACAGCTAGGATTCTACAAAGGTGAGGGTTTCCCTGACAGACAGTAATATTGTTTATGGAGACAGGTCAGTAACTTGACTCTCATACGTCAGCACTCAGTAAGGCCTCAGTTTGTAACTGAGACCAGGAACTTCAGATGCTGTTACTCTACTGTCAGTCTATGTTTTCTTCTTCCTTTTTCATCATTAAAATTTTTTCTTTAATTTAATTTTCACAATCCCCAAAAGTCTCATGCGCTGCTGGATAAAACTGTATTTGTGCCTAAATACTTCCTGTGCCTAATAAATATTTACCACTGAAACTTGTATAATTAACACCAAAGACGGAATGCTGTCATCTGTATGCCATATGTTGGATTCTCAGCAGTTTTAAGAACTTTGCGAAAATACAAATTAAATATATTCAGTCCAAGAAGGAAACCTCTTCTCCCTCATGATCATCCTTTAGCGTCACATCCTAGATCCCCGAACCTGTTCATCTACATTTTTCTATCACATTGAAGCCTGTGTCGCATCTCACACCCAGTGTTAAAGCATAAGGAGCACAAACTTTCCACCGACTGTACAACAACAAAACCTCCATTTTCTACACTCTTTCTGAATCTATATTGTCTATAAATGACCTGATGGAGCTGATGGGTTTCAGAAACACAAAAAAGACAGAATTACCTCAGTTGTTAGGTTGAACTTCTGTACCTCAAAGAAAAAAAATAGAGTTGAATCCACTTATTGCAGGTTCATTATTGCTTTCTTCACAGAGTTTGGCAAGTTCCATGCATCCTGTCAGTGTTAAGCTCAGCTCCTCAGCTCCTCTTAGGCTCTAAGGGATCAATTTGCTGCTCTCTGTTTGTCTACCTTCCCTCCTTTGGTGTATTCTTTAACTCCACCCTCATCACCTGCGTAAAATACCTCTTCTCTCCTGTTTCCTTCTTCTTCTCTCTTCGCTCCCTTTCTCTTTTCAAGTTAAGATGCTGAAGACTGAAATCAGAAGTCTGTTCTTCTGAAGGCACAGCTGAAACCTTTCTTCCTCTCTGAAAACCTTCCTTTAGCTCCTATATATGTGAGCTCCTCTCTTGCTCTTGCTTATCTGCTCTCTGTTCATGGAAACAGGTCTAGCCACTCCTTGTCACTTTATAGTTTCCACCTCTTTGTTCAGCATGCTTGACCTGAAACCTGTGTGACTGGCTATGTTGTCTCAGGGGCATTTTGTTAGTAAAAAAAATATTTTTTTTTAAAAACAACAGTCTTTCCTTTTAATAACAGTGAGTTCAAAGTGTTTTTATACTTTACAAATACATTATTCACTCACAATCCTACTAATAATTTCTTGTTAATTTCAAACTCTAGAAAAAAATTAAAACAAAATCATAGTTTTTCAGCTAAGATCACAAAAATACATCTAAAAAGTACCCCATGCATTTGTACTCAGTCTGCCTTTCTGCTGACATCACTCATAAAATAATAGAAAATACAGCAACGTTAAGAAACCATCTAACAAGTAAGTCCTTGTGTGTAAATTAAATGGAGTACTTACTCAGCTGTTCTGTAAGGCCTTATAAGACACCATTGAGGAAAGAATAGCACAACAAGGACCAAGCATCATGAAGGCAAACCTCCAACCCTGTTTGAAGTCTTCCAAGGCCTCCAATGAGTTTTCCTACCCCAGATTTTGTTCAATCTATAATTTCATACCTTTCAACCCTGACCAGATTTCCTGCCACCCTCTAAGCAACAGCTTTCCCAAAGCATGATACTGCCACTACCGTATTTTAAGTGGGAATGGTGTGTTTAGTGTGAATCACAAAGAAACTATGTGCAGACCAACAAGTGAAACTGTGGTCTCATCTGACTAATAAACTGCAAAGAGGATTTATTAAGCTTTTCTGTGTGCTGTTTTCTCATAAAAGACAGATTTTTGAAATGCATAGTTATTGATTGCCAGTATGCCTTTCAGGAACTGCTTATCTCTGCAGCTTCTCCAGCGTTAATATGGGCTTCTTGGCTCCTTTTTCAGAATTATACTCTCCACACCAGGCCTGTCGGTTTATGAGAATGGCCATGTATTGGTAGGTTTACAATAGAACTGCACATTATACCTAAGTACAATTGTCACTACGATATTTAACTACTGTATGCAATTGTGAAATATCTCTGGAAAACTTGAACACCATATGATAATATTTCCTTAATGCAAATTCAGCAAGTCAATAATATTAGCTAAAGCTCACAGATTGATGGGATCTTTATGATAAGGTTAAATAAAGGGTGCGGAAAATATGGGATCCTGTTGGTTCAATAAACATCTGAGGTCTTTACAGGAGAACTGGATTAATACTAAGACTAAATCCAACAAAGGTGGACTCTGTTTCTGTTTACTTTAAAATCACACGCTACTTCGCATCAAATGTCCTCTGTAACACACTGCATATGTGGCTGTAATGTTTAATGTTAAAAAAGAGGGTTGAATATTTTTTGCACACCACCTAATCTAAGATTTTCTAATATAAGTATAAATCTGATGATTTTCATAACGACAGCTACAGATCTATTTTTAAATATATATTATAAACAAAACATTGTCTTGAGACAAAGTTTACACAATAAACAGGCCAACTGTATGCCTAGAAACCTTAAACAAATCCATTGTTGCTACCTAAACACAATTTACAACCAGATTTCTTCTTTTATTGTTCTTTTTAAGGTGTTAAACGATGAAGAGAGCAGAGAAACTAAGCCCACCTCTTTTAGTGTCTGAGAATCATCATAAATCCGTCTCAGGGCTGACAGCTCTAACCACAAATCCTCTAACCACCAATGCAAACTGTTGAGTTTGTAATAGGTATAACCACAAAATGAAATCTCATGTCTGCACACATCCATGACTGACAGGACCCGAGTGGTAAATGTGTGTCTGGCCAGTTTAATAATGATTATTTTCCATCTGTGTTTCCATCAATGATCTAATAACACAGGGGAATAATGAATGTTATCTATTAATGCCACTGACTCAATGACATCAGCTGTTTCTCTTGCTCAACAAATATCAGCATCATTATGTAACAAAAGCAAACAAACCTGGGACTGTAAAAGAGATTAAAGGGTCCAAATATTCACTGTTGGAAAACTTGCCTTTTAAAATGAAATAATCTGGCACATTTGGAAAGCTCTAGTTTCCCTGACAACAGGTCCCCAACAGTGTATGTTGGCCTTGATCGTTATGTTGTCATACATTTGTAATATACCTACAGTACATCTCTGTTTATTCGGAAAACAACTTGGCAAATACTTAAAGGCAGAACAATTATCTCTCTCTCTATATATATATATATATAAATAATGTGGGCGTTGATGGGTTAAATATTGTAAACGTAAATGTCTGTATTTCTATAGCTTTTTGAGATGTTTTGTGCTGCAGTCATAACTTCACATGGGGAATGGGCTTCTTTAAGCCTTATGTCCCTACAGTTTCATACCAATTCACAACGGGGTTTACAATCTGAATGTGGGTTTAAACCACAAAGAGATGGAAGGGTACAATTTAGTTAAAAATATTTTATTATTTTCAAAAAAAACTTTTCATATTTTCCAAAGGGAAACTTAATAATGATCTTTTTACATAAGGTCCGTCTGGATCTCCTCCCTCTGGGACGAGTACAAACAACCTCCAGGCCTCAGCTTATGATGTAAAAGAAACTTGTTTCATTTTAGGGAGAATGTTTTATAAAATCTTATAAGATCACAAACTTTTAGTAAATGATTCAGGATTTTTTTTTATAACAAACTGTGCTGGTCTTTAAAAAAAAAGGCATTTCATTCATTGGAGTCCATTAATCTAGTCTCTCTGAATCAAACAGTGGAATACTGGCTGCACAAATTAGAGCCACGTCGACAGCAGTGCTAAAAATAAAACAGGATCCTTTTGTTTGTTGAGTGAAAGCTGAAAAAACACATACTGTACTATTCATACCATAGATGCTCCAACCTGTCGAGGCTATTTACAGCAACATTGTACGTTAAATTATTGAAATCAAACTGAAATTATAGAAGAGTTAAAGAAAAATATGAAGTTGATTTAAGAAGGCACAGTTTAGTGTGGAAACATTTTATTTTGAAAGGATCTTTGATCTCAGAGCTTGGAGGCGGAGCTATTAGGAGTAGGTCCCAACCACTTCTCTCCTGCAAAAAAAAAAAAAAAAAGATGAATCTCTTTTAAAAGAATAAATGAGGGGTCTCGTGTATAAAGTATGTCTATGCACAAAAAACTTGCAGCACATTTGGGATGTATAAAAATTAACTCTGTGTGAAAGTGTGCCGCAATCCACACTAACTCTTGACCTGCCGTGAGAAATTTCAGCTGTCGGCAAAACTTTTAATCCAAAATAACAAGCTAAAAAGCATTAAACTAGCGCTGGAGCAATCTGATTAATTATAAGACATATATAAGGTCTTTTGTTATGCTCTATCCAGATCTCCTCAAGTAGAAAAGTTTTAGTTTCACCTGGTTTCATTTCATAAAAATGTTTCTTTATAAATCCTTTGGCTATACAATTATTAATAGATTAATACAAAAAAAATCAACAGATTAATCAATTTGCAAAATAATAGTTAGTTGTAGCAGTTGCAGTAGTTACCAACAAGATTCTGGGAATGTTTACTTGGCAGAAGCAAAGGAGTTCATTTATACCGGTTGGTTATGTGGCACTGATCCAATTTAATCCACACCTTGTCAATATAGCTGAGGTCAGAGCTTTTCAAAAATCAACTTTTAGTTTATTTTATTCTAAAGCTGCTCAATGTATCACATTTCAATAAAGACACATGAAATACTGTATAACAATAGAAAAGAAAACTTGGATGCTGTATCTGTAGGCTTTTATACTAAAAGTGGCATACATATTCTGCATGCCATTAACATGTTTGACTTGATGGATGGAGTTTTTGCCCTAAATGACTTCCAAAGATGTGTATTTTTATTTTTTTTATGGCTGAGCTGCTTAAATTTAGAAAGAGTGATGTGCATACTGACAAAAAAGGTCCGGACGTTATGAATCATTATCACGATCCTCTATTGCTTTGCTATGACATGTTTTCTGGATAGAATTCAGCTATGTTTATGCAACAAACGATTTTCATGTCCCTTTGTGATAATTATCCTGTTAGAAGTGTAGCCTTTTAATCCGACCTCAGATGATAGGAAACTGGTTAGCATATTCAGGAACAACCAAGGTGACCCTTCCATAAACTAGGGCTGCAGCTATTATGCAATTCGATTAATCTGTTGATTATTTTTTTATTAATGGATTACTAATCGGATAGCAAAAGGTTCCTTAAAGAAAATTTTTTATGAAGTCAAACCAGGGGAAACTAAAACTTTTTCACTTGAGTTCTGGATAGAGGATATTGACAGCATAAAATGTTTTTTTTTTAATCTTAACTGTAAAATATTTATATATTTTTTCATAATTTTGATATAATTATTAGGCTTGTTTTAGAGCCACTATACTCCAGTTAATGATTAATAGATTACTAAATTAGCAGACCATTGTTTTAATAATAGATTAATCACGATTGTTTGTTATGCCTTACCATAAACCACAGTAAAGATGATTTGACCTCATCATGGACTGAGGGGGCAGTGATTGAGGAAGAGGGGTCTCTTCCTCCGATTTTAAATTAGGGTTTACGGTCAGGTGAGATCAAGATTGAGATGCCAACCAAATATAAAAATAAAAACTGTAATTACAGCAAGGTGGTGGTAGAATCATGTTGAGGGTCTGTTCCACAGCCAGTGGTACCAGCATTGCAAAAAGGTGACGAAATGTGAAAGGAGATAGCTGTGAGGTTAACTCCTCCCAGCCTGCTCTTGTTCCAAATCATTAGCAAGTTATTTAGCAAACATTTAACCAACCTGTTCCAAAAGGTAAAGAGGTAACCTCTGTGTGGCCTCTGACCCCTTTCCTTCCTTAAGTCGGTTCAACAAGGTACCAAAAGCTTCATTTATCCTTGTTTTTTTGGCTTTAACCTGAAAATTGTAAAGCTTAGAAGTGGCTATTTCGCAGATCTAAACAGACCTGTTATTCCAATAAGTGTAGAATCATATAGCATTAAGGTTGACATTGTGACCAAAAGCAAGAAATTAAACATATG